GAACAAACGTTCAACGCCTACAACGCTCGAGTGGCAGAGCTAGAGTCACAGTACTCTCCGGGTGTAGTTCTGTCCAGTCTACATTGGGTGTCGCCGATTACGATAAAATTTACGAAGAGGTAATTTTTTTAGTTTTTAATATAAMATTTTAARTTATTTTCTATCARATTTTTAARAYTTTGATTTTWTAACYTTRTCATTTTATAGGTTGCACCGAAGAAAAAAAGACGGATCTTGGGTGTTGGATCCATCGCCGATCTCCCAGCAGCTTCTTCTACCGCTCGGTATAGTTACACTCCGAGTTCTTCTGACCCACAGTTGGCAACGCAGTTGACCGCTGCTAATGCTGAGATTGAGCGGCTAAAGATGGAACAAGCGGATATGCGGTCAACCAATAGTTCGATGCAAGGCCAACTCACGGTATTGACAAATCTGATGGACATTATTGCAGTGGATAACCCGACTTTAGCTGCTGCCCTCTCCCAGATACCGCGTCCTGCACAGCCACCTCCAGCTAGAGGTCAACCGCAGTTCGACGAAGAAGCCGAAGCTATGATGAATGAATATAGAGACGACATTAATTTAAGAGACGAACGTTAAAATTATAATTTCTGTTTGCATTTTAGTGTTTTTAAACAATTCTGTTTTTATTTTCGCATTTATATATAAAATTTTCTAATTTTTTAAAAAATTTGAATTTTATGAAAAATATTTTCATTTACAAATATTTTTTTTAAAAAATAATCATATAATTCGATGCTAAAATGACGTTATATTAGCGTCGATTTAGCATCGACATAAGACGGATCCGATGCTAAATCGAGGTTATATTAGCGTCGAAAACAATCGATGCTATTTCGATGACTAAGAAGAAGCGAAAGGCGATGACTCGCCCGGATCCCCTGGGGTCTACCCTCTCGGATGCAGAGTCACTCCAACTCCTTCGAGAGAAGTGCATGATTTCAGAGGAGATTGCGCTGGTCATCCCTGACTCCCCTGACAGAGCCGATGCCCCGCCTCCGGGGTACTTCACTCTGTATGAGAACTACTTCGACCAGTTTCTGCTCTGGTTTTCGGTGCCTGGATTCCTTCTTCGTTTCCTTGCGGCAAACAATTCTTCCCTTGCTCAGATTAACCCTAGGGGTCTGAGACATCTCATCGGTGTTTATGTGTTGAGCAGAGAGTGTGGCGTTGAGATTAGCACCGAGCACTTGTCCTGCTTGTTGGATTTTAGGACCCGCGGTCGAAAAGAGGAGCTCAAATATAGTGTTACTCCTGTAATGGGCCGCATAC